ATATAATATCGAAACACATGCTCTTGGCATTGCTCATCACTTTAGCTTCTCTATACAGGCATATACCGAAATATGTATTTACGTCACATAGGTATACGGTTGTGGGAAGTTTTATCCCCAAGAGAAGCGTCATTGTTTTTCGTTGGAATGCGCTCACGATTTTCAAGAACAGATTATAACATACGACGTATCATACCGTAACGTTGTTCTTCCTTCAGAGGCCTGAAGGCCATATTCGTCACTATGAAGAGTATTTTATGCCCTAAAAAGCCTTGAAATATTCTTTTAAAAATATTCATTTATTACCTGAAACTAAAATTCTGAAATATGCACTTTAATATGCAATTAAAATTACCAGCATTTCTTTCCTGTTTAAACCTTTCTAAAAACATTTAGGAGGAGCTTTCTTGGAATGGAAAGATGTATTTTTGTGCATATATAAATTACTTTGCGAGAGAAATAATTGAAGTAAATATTCCCAATAGAGAAGTACATCGTATGCTTTATTGAATTCTTCTGCCTGTTTAAAGAAAATATGATATCAAGAAATATCCTACATTGTCAATAATATTCTATCATCTACAATTTTTTTTAAAAACGTCTACAATAACAAGCACTTCCTAATCATTGAACGCTAATAAATAAATATATCGTGTGAGAAGTTGAAACGTAAGTTAGAGAAATTATTATTTTAACGAAACGCGCAAAATATGAGCCTATAATTACACAAATTAGACCAACAGTAAAGATAAGCCCAATGTGCAATAGCATAACAATTAACATAGTATCCAATTATAACCAAATGTTAAGAAATTTCACTTAGCCGTTCTCTGAAGCAACAGACAAAAATATACAAAGGGGCAAAATAATAGAAATCCACTCCCTATGTATCACCGTTAAAACATGTTCTTACATTTAAGAAACCGGATTTTGAAGAACCTTTTCGCCATGGTTTTACAGTTTACTTTTCTGACGAATTTGGAATGAAGAGCAAGCTCCGAGATTTTGCCTTAGATTACTTATTCACAGTATATAAAATACATTTTCTTTTTCCGAATGTTGCTTTTTGACCATTAGAATGACTGAATGAAATAAAATAGCAATGCATACATAAATAAAATTTACGGTGGTACATTTTCTTAATAATCTGTGCCTATTTAGAGAGAGTGCAATCTTGCATGTTTTGGTGGTCTGACCAGTCCGTTGTTCAACAGACGCTGTGCGAGGTGCAAGTGCTGATGGTGGAACGAAACGTGCGGCAGCATCCCGACGTGCAACGTGACCTCATGGATAGCAACGTCCGACAAAACAACAGCACGTCGCACCGCAACCTGCGCGACTGGCTAATCTACCGTGACTACATGAATGGCCTGGAGTACGTCATCGAAGTGCTGGAACACTTCGAGCGGCAGTACCCATCCTCATGAACGTCTTCTCGTCTTCTGCATTTTACACTCGCTACAGCGCCATGTCAACGCCAGGTTGTCTGATCTTCCATCGTTCCATAGACGTCTCTTACGGCGAGCAACATGAACTAGTAAACTAGTACGCAGTATTTCTCGCCGCACAATGATCAATGAAAGATTCTCAGAGTTAATTTATAATTTTGACAACTTGGGGCAGACGTCTCTTAGTTTGGCTGTAGTGAGTATCCTGCAGCACTCCACGCTCCTTGAACAGGAGTCTGCTGTACGTTCGATGTTTTAGCCGTCCAATGTGTAGTTTATGTGCATAGTTCCGTTGTGGTGTTGCTTGAGTGAAAATATGTATTCATTTTATTGTGATGTCTATAAAGTGTTCCTGTGAATTCTGCTTTTTGTTTTTTATTATTTATTTATTTTAATATTGTGAATACTCAAATATATCTTAAATATTTTCAGTATTAGAAATATATAAAATCGGAATCTCTTAACGAAACAGCGTGTTATTTATTATGCTTATTTATTAATTACTTCCACCGATGCGCTTGTTATCGTGTGATTGCTTCCCGATGAAAAGTAGCTGACCTTTTATTTCTTATGAAGCCCTAAATCCTCTTAGCGGCCAATCACGCAACTTACCAACCGTTTCGTACTTTCCCACATCTTCTCTATTGCCCCTTTCTCCTTTTCGTACTTCACTTTCTCCTCCTCCTCCTCCGCTTTTCTCTTTCTTTTTAGTTCTTCATTATTATTCTCCATTTCTTTTCCCTCTCTTTAGTCACCCTTCTGCTGAAATCCTTCTCCCATGTTCTGTTGTCTGGACGTCTTGTCAAATGCTATTCTTAGACAGACGTCACCACGTTTCTTTTGCAAAGTGATTGACGCTGCAATTGGGAAAAAAGGCCACACCCTAATTTTTTTAGAAAACCACGGTCAGTAAGTTCTTGTATTTTCAACGAAATAAAAAGAGTCTCAAAATAATTTACAGACGAAAATATGAATTACGAGTCAAGAAAAAACAAATTTGTTTTAATGGGATTTCTGTGATAACGTTGCCATTTAGAATATTCATAATTTTATCCTTAGATTAGCGTTATGATTTTAGTAGAGAGCAGTACGAAGTTGAATATTTATGATATTACGTTATAAAATTGTATTTCCTGTGCCCTCATGAGACTTGTTATTTATGTATTTGAAATATAGTTAGAAAATACGTGGAGTTGTTAGAAGTTGATTGTAATTTCCATGTAGTTTGCTTCCTTTAGCTGAATGTTTCTCAGAATATTAATGAAAGGGCATATTTAGAGAACTACACATACAACTGGTTTTGTTGATGTTGCAATTCAAAGTATAGTAAGAAAAATATTCGTAATATTAATCCCTTTTTCATAATTTTTTAAATTTTATCTACATTTATTCTATGAACAATTTTATGCTATATAGTAATTTGTGTTCAATTGCAAAATACACTCAAAATTTTGTTTTAATATTAATTTCGGTGATTAGTTTTAGAGTTTCTTTAATATCTTTCCATTTAGCAAGTGATTTACGTGTGATACACTCATTATATTTGGACTGTTTGAACATTGTAATTTTATGATTATATTCATTACCCTGGCCACATTCTCTTCAATCGAAATCAGATCTTGAGATTAAACAATTAATAAGTGTTTATTACGTGTCATGAATGGAATCATTTTGTGTACACTCTGAATGTAATTTATCAACTTTTTTGAGAATGAAAAAATGTTACCAACAAAAATTAATATTACACTTCAATGTATAAGATGAATGTCTATAAATTATGATCATTTTAAATGGTGCATGCTTTTATTGTAGTTGAATTAATTACAGAGGTAGATGTCTCAAATCTGGATAACTGTTAATCATATTATAGCACTTTGCAGGATGGTTTTGAAATTATAGTTTATATCAAATGTGTAATATTATATTTTTTCTGCACCTTTGTAACTTATTTCAACATATAATTTCGGTATAACTACTATGCTGTAACAGGGTACTGAAATGGTTTCATTTCCATTGCACTTGCATGATTTTCTAGAATTAGTACAAATGTCAATATATTTATTTGATGTACTTGGAAATGAATTATGTAAGTTCAGTGTAATCAACTGTCTAGATGTTAATTTGTTTCTGTATTATGTTAACTCATATCTGAAATGAAATCTATAATAATTCTCATTGTCAAATTTACCAAGTTTACAGCTTTTGAAAAATAATATTTAATGATTATTTCTTTGATGAGTTCTGTGCCAAAATTAAAATCCCCTAAAAACAAATCACAAACAAAAATGATGATGAAACATTACTACCAAGTTCTCAGATACTTCATGATATTCTCATACTTACTTAAAAGTGAAAGAGCTTCTTTTTCAGGTAATTGCAACAAAATCAATTGTATCATGAAATTTTGTAGATGTTCAGTTGTATGTAGACTTCATGTATTTAAAACCTAATTATATTTTGTCTAAAGTGATTTGATTTGAGCTTTTACGCTGCTACTTTGTAAAAGAATAGAGTTCTTGTGCACTTCACCATTTTCATCCTATTCACTTGCTTTATGTACAGTTATCAAATCAAAAATATGAAATTATATTTATTAAAATGTTTTTAGATGTGTTTAGTAAAAGCTCAGTCAAATCACTATGTTAGGCTGTGATATTCATATTTATTTTATTAGAATTGTATATCCTCTCTTGATAATTAAAATTTATTTCTATTTCAATATTTTCTTGTATCACCTATTTCTATGAATTATTTTTATTCAGCTTTTTTTTATTTTGGCAGCTCTTTGTAAATATTGTTTAAAAGATATGAGTAATTTAAAAAGATTGGATTGTTCTTGTGAGAAAATGTAATAATATTTAGATGCATCATTCCTTGTGAATGGATCCAATAAACACAATATTTTGAATTATTTAATAAAAATTCTTCCAATCAAAATATTGTTTTGAAATAAGCAGATTTAGTTTCTGATAAGCATTAAACATTCAATGTACATTTTATTTGAAAGATCCTTAAATTTATGCAATATTTGGTGGTTTATAATATTTGATTTTATATTTTTTGTACAAGAGAAATTAAAATGTTTCAATGATTTTTCTGAGATTCAAGATTGATGGAAACTGACACCCTTTAAATACAAATTGGATTCCACACAGGAAATTATAACTCTGCCCACTAAAGAAATTATATATGTATTTTTCTGAGGTATCTTGAAGTTTATTGAATATGTCAAATTGAATAGAACAGTGTACTATTGAGTTACAATGAAATAACTGAGAATGTAAAAAGAATGAGTTTTGCCAATATATTGATATAGATATCAGGGAACATAATGAGTTTGAATTTTATCCCTCATCCTTAAAACATAACTCTAGTAGAACTTCTTTTACCCGAAGTAATCCAGATTAATAATAAACGAGAAATTCGGGATTGAAATAAAACATACTACACACTAAAAAGTATATAGACACACTATTCACAAATAGTCCATCTCAATAAATTTTTTTGTCGAGTTTCCGTCAATTCAGTGAGCAAGTCGGGCAATTAAGATGGTCTCTGGTTTTGTGTCCTGACATAGAAGTAGCTTCACGAAGCGCATCCAGCATTTCTTTTGCTAGTTGTCAATAGCGATACGGTTCTTATTTTGTCAACAAAACTATAAATTCAAATTTGAAGTTCGTTTGCCGATGCAAATATGTCTTCAGAAGCGATTATTTGGAGTTTTGCAATGTTGCTAAACATGCTTTGTTAGCAAATTTATTCATAATTTAAAAATATATTTTTACATGTTCAACGAAGTGTAAGAGTGGTGTAGGGACTCCGAAGCTCAAGAAAACTTGCACAAATTATACTTCTCCCTTACATGCCATTTACAGTTTTGAATGTTTATGGCGATAAACAAATTAGAGTAAATAGGAAACCAATTATTTTGGAAGAACTCACCTTAGGTACAGTGCACTAGTTACACTTGTAACTTCTAATCTTTTGGATCAACTTTCGTATCATTTACGTGCAGCACGATCGAGGAGATGTTTTACGACGACGAGTTCTGTCCATGTTTTCCCCGGGAATTCCAAATATAACATCAGTTCGCCCAGCTGCATTGCTAACTCCAAATGGGTCAACCTATCGTGAGTTAGTGTAAATTTCACTTCATCCATATCTTCATAATGTTTGCAAACATGTCAACATATACAATACTCTTTTCTATTTGACGCACCCACAAATGTTTGTAAATTTTTCTAACAACTTGAAAGGATGAATGTCGTAAATTTCTTTATATTCGTGGGTGAATTACGTATAACTGACTATAGCTGACTGAGTGGCATTACGCCCTGAGGAAGGTCGCAGAATGGCGACCGAAACGTCGGCACCTTCGCCATGCACGCGGCGTCACCCGGACAGCCTAGTAAATACTGACTCCGGCCGCAGAAGCCTACGCTCTTGTAGCTGACTGACTTCTTCCCATAGTACGTCATACCCACTTTTAACTCTTTTGAACATTACAAAAATTAAGTAGTAAATAAGAGTGTTCTCCAAGATTTCTTTACTGTCGACTCCCCAATGTGATCCCAGGAAGAAGCAACCATATAAAATCACGTCTTTGAAGTTGATTGAAAACACTGATCAACATGATTTTTGTCTCGAGAGTGCCAATAGCTGTACATAATTCACTTTTTAAATGGTTTTTACATATGTATTAGGAATTTCCCCATCGCCCACAGATGGAAAAGTGACACTCGTCACATGCCATTAAAATCGTTGCAAACAAAAGAGTTCGATGTTACATTTTGCCGGTTTTGAGTTACCAGTGAGAAACTTGTTCTTAGAATATAATTTAAACCTCCCATGCACAAAAGTTCGTTGCCTGCGACGTCTATAAAGTATCCGTCAACATTTAATGTTAAGAAAACATGTTCGATTTCCAAAATTTCGAAACTTTTTGCTCGCTCTTCAAAATTTGAGGCTCCTGAACATCGAACGATTCGTTTTCTCAGATTCATTTGCAATCCCTATCTTTGGAGGAAACACAAATATCATTGCTGGCTACTTTTTTTTCTGCTTAACAAACATTAAAAAAATTTACGTCAAAATCAAAACATACAGTGGTGCGCCCTTACTTGCAATCTGCTATGAGGCCAGTTCCACACTAGAAAGAATTGTCCATACATGTGTTGTAATGACTTTTCTTCTCTTAGGGTGACATTGGAAAATGAACCCCAGCAGAATGGCGCTTGTTCTTCTATTCTGCATAATGGCAATAAATTCCAGTCAGTACCTTGGCACACTCTAGTATGAAAGAAACATGAAAACTTTAAATTTATATTGGAAAAGCTTCAATATAGTATGAATGGAATATTTGTGGTGATTCAATGGTAATTGTTCTTATACTTGGTCTGCAACTTGGTTACACAATGTATTGTTTTTGTGTGAATGGAATTTTAGGAACAGAAAAATACAATGAAAGTAAAGGCCTATACGCAAAACACTCATTCCTGGTCAAAAAATTGAAACATGGTCCATTATGTAATCCTAAAAATGTGTGTATAGCTCCATTGCATATTGTGACGTCATGGATACTCACAGCGACCACAGACACAGAGCTTTCGTATAACAAATATATGCTTACCGAACGGAACCCTAAAATTTCAACTTTGGCCACCGGTAGTTTTATCGGCGCCTCGTCCGGGGCTGCTTTAACAACCGATACGGACTCTGCCCTGTCTATTGATTAGGCATGAACGTGCTTTGCGTTGATTTAAGGATCATACGGAGCAACCGTATCGCGGAAGAATGGTAAATGCTCTTTCCGCAAACCGTGCGACAAACGTGGTTGAGGAAGCAACAATTCCTCGCACATCGTCCGGTAACACACGTGACACAACTACTCGCTTTGTTATAAGCTGAGGGCAACTATTCTTTAATGTGCACCCCGGTTTTTTTACCATGTAAAATAGACGTGCGTTTCCTGTGGTTTTGTCGAATACCATAGCGTTTCGGTCTACTATAGGCGCTGCGGTTTAGAAGTGAAACGGCACGCTATTCCGTTGCTTCATTTCTGCTACCCACAGAACCCTTGGTTATTACTTTGGAAAAACTCTTTCTTGTACCACTAGATCGATTGTTCTCGTTAGGTGTCCAGCGCTGCGTGCCTAAGTCTTAGGGACTGGGTGAAACTTCCGCCCCAAAATATACTAAGAAGTGAGCACGCACCGTCGCCGGGACCTTCCCGTTTTCATCTGGTCGGATAACAATCAATCTAATAAATGCTACGTAAAGTTTCAACTTTAACCCTGAAATCCAACTTTATTGCAATAATTCGTTCAATTCGCGAGCATAAAAATTCCTAGGGGAAGTAGTTTTTGCTCTTTTTGGCGATGAACTGCAAAACATCTGACGACACTTTTCGGGCGTGAATTTATACATGTCTAGTAACTGAGTTTGAATCTGGTCATAAATCCTGCTCTGGTTGAATCCGATCTAAACTAACAAGTATTGATTTCATTTGGGATAGCAGTCCATTAGATTGGGACTGACGCCATTGACTGGCGCAAATGTCGAGCTGACGGAGCATGCGCTTCGGAAAACACTTAAAATAAGGTAATTCCTCACTGACGCTTTAAATTTATCCATTACTGATTGGATACGGATTTTTACTTTGTTTCCACGAATCTCTACTACACAAATTCCGCGAGCAGAGGTAGCCATGATTCGGTTAACTCAGCTTATATTCGAGTTCGTATGCCAGTTCTCGTATCCTTTCCATCGATTCGCGCTGCCGTCCTCGCCCTTTTTCCTCGAAATTCGCGCTGCCGTTCAACGCTCTTTCTCTTCGATATTCGCGTGATTCAGCGATCTGCATCTTTAAACCTGCATCGGCGAGTTGCTATAACAAATCTTTACGTACTGCTCGCTTCCCGTGATTAAAATACCTATTAACCTTACAACAGTTTCGTCCCATTCAAAATTTCCCCAATCTCCAATCGCGACCACTCACAAGTAACCTATCTTTCCGATACCCCGCTAGAAAAGTCCTTGGCGCATTGAAATTGATCACCGACTGGTTAAAAAACACACTTACGTTCTGTATGACCTCGGTGTCGCGTTCGCGCTTCTGGATCGGTGTCCTTTCGTCCTTCCTCTCGTTCTGGTCGATACCGGGATGTCTTCTTCCAGTTCCAGTAAGCCAATGTCCACCATAACCTAGCACTAGTCCAGTTCCAGTTCAAATTAAGGAAAAAAAAGGTTTCGGATCGGAACTGTACAAGCCTCACGAACTTCCCGTACGAATTACCGCAGCAAATTCGTTTTACTGTGGCGTGCACGACACTGCCGACGCCTCGTGGAATAGACGCGAGTGCCCAACACTTCCGATGCACAACGCTTACTGTTCAGAGTATTTCCAGCGCGCACCAAATGACTCAGGCGCAGCACTGCACCGTTCACCGCGCGTTGCAAACAGATACTTTTCCGCGATCTAGCCGTTGTTTACTAGTGAACTGCTGCACCATGTAGGGCTTTCGTAAAACGCACCTGCCACCAACTATAGAAAAACTTGGTGGGTACAATTTACTACCACGTGGGCTTCGTAAAACAGCTGGCTCCAATTAAAGAAAAAAATTGGAATGGGTTCACCTTACTACCACCCAGACGTGGGCCTTCGTAGAAACGCTGCCAACCAAGATTAAGAAAAAATTTCGGTGGGTTACACTTACTACCACCGATGGGTTTCGTAAAAAAACCGCTGCCACCCATTAAGAAAAAAAAAGATCCGAGTCCTGTGACGTAAGTGAAATAAGAATAAATTTCAATAACAAAAATAAAAAATAATATATTTGAAAATAATTATGTACAAGTTTACAATGAATTGCTAATATTAAACACTCTCGGGCAACCTTTTCCTTTTCGGACACTGAGCTTATACGCAAGAAAATACAAGACAAGCCACCGCGTGATGCGCGCCGTCGGGACCTCTGTCCCGGACAAATTACCGTCAACAATGGCCTGACGCCAAAAGTTTAACCCGGTTCGTAAGCGACCTCGTGTGTCTACAGCACGTGAGATTGTTGGCCCTTACTCTCCGCGACATCTCGCCCATCACTCCTTACATACCCTCCTTGTACATACACGTAACAAGACTACCGCCGATGGCAAACTTGAATGAGAACGCGGGTGCGCAGATGAGCCGACATTAAAATAGTTGAAGCTGACACCCCCACCAACTGTTCCATAAATAGACTCGCACTTGGCGCGAGGACTCGCAGGCCAGCCTTTGAGTTTACGCCCCACACAGGAGATTCTTCAGGTTGGCTGCCTGCCTT